ACTTCCCTGTGCTATTAAAGGTAGAAGCCCTCCTTGGGTCCCTCCTAGAAAGATAAATAATACTTTCTATAGTGGAAATCTCAATGATTTGAGCTTTTGTTTGTCTTGCTATAAAACACCCCCTCCGGCTTTTAAATCATCACTTCAGTTCAGCAGAAGTATTCATTTGAAGTGATGGCATAAAATGATTTGGACAAAAATTGGTTACAAGCAATTAATATACTGAACTGAGGAATTTAAAAAGTGTCATAGTATACAACTTTGATATCAGTGTTCAAATTCTGTCTTCTAGCCTTTTGATGTCCATCTTAAAATCTTGTGTTTTGTTCAACTATAAATATGCCCAATAACATTTCAACTGTATAGCCAGATATGCCATCAAAAGTCACCATAATAGTACCACCCAATATACGTCAACAAGTCCTTAGCCATCACACCAAAACAGCATTTTCTTTTAAAGGTTCACTTGACCATAAATACCAAAATAACAAGACAACTATCACATCACAACTGAAGAGCCGTATAAGTTAACCTCAAACAAAATTAATTTATGCATCAAAATGAACAAAGCATTTTTTTTATATTATGTTATTTCTTAAAATACCACAGCATGCTCCATACCTTCCAGTTCATGCTAATATTTAACACAGCATCAACATAAGTTCTTAAAATAGCCAGTTAACTCTTGTTTAAGTTTTCAGTCAATCATCACTCAAAGAAGTCTGATTAGAGACTGGTTGTAATCACAGACAGGTTTAAGTTCAGTCTACCTTAGAAAGTTTGATCACAGACTGGCCAAAGTTCAGTAAACCATGACGTATATGGTCAGAACAAACGTCGATCAGGTGTAATCCGTTTCAGTTTTTGTAAAAGATTGCGAGTCTGCATAAGGATCCTGAGCATCAGCAGCTGGCAGAGAAACGGAATCCTGTAGATAGGTCAGGTAAGTTGGGTAGTTAGTCGATTGTGTCTGATTGGAGGAGGACCCCGATTTCATGTAGTGACCATGTATGGTGTTTCGTATACCTTTATCAATGGCTACAGTGCAATCCGACCACATCCTCTTTTCAGAGTCTTCTGGACCCAAAGGGAAGTATTCAAAAACTAGATTGTGAATCACTTCCAACTTTTTAGAACAGATGGCCCGTTTTCCTTTCCTACCAAAGCAATTTCTACCTCTCATTTCGTCATTGTTGTAGAAATATCTAGCAAGTCTCCAAGCAAAATTTGGCCGTGATGAAGACGACCGGTTAATTTCCGAGATAACATTGTAATCCAAACTTGTAAGATCTGGTGACAAGCGTGATAAATAATTTAAGGGTTGCCCCGCGCGGCTGTAGAGGGTCAGCATTCGAGGAGAGCTACCAGTGTCGTTGTGAGAGTTTTCAAGGTAGGACTGAGCTAGCGAGTACTGATCATTGCTTGCCCCCGCCCCAGGTTGATGACCTGAAACAGGACACAAGACTGTATCACTGCATGTGGAAACTTCCCCTTCCAGAAACAATCAGAAACAATCAATCACCCAAAAATGTCATCACTATATATAGGTCCGTACATCAAGAAATCAACATGCAGTTCTAGATTTAATGAATATTTCATGTCCTCAATTGAGGATTTAAAGAGGTATAAACGAGTACTAAAACCGGAACACCAACAACATGCTATTTGGCGATTCAAAAAGATTAATTCAGTATCTTCCTCCTTTTAATTATACACAACTACATTGATTCAAAGAAATTGCTTTTATCATGTTGCTCAAATATTTCTTGGTCGAAAATGTTCTTTTATCAATGTAAAATGTTGCTCCAGAAGTTCATGCATCATGAACCATATGTATTCTCCAATAAAAGCACCTAGTTGGAGGTCAGTATTCCAAAAATCATCCAGTTTCAATTGAAATTATCCCGACATGAAAGAAATCTGTATTTCTTGAGCCACAAATCAACAAAACCAACAGCAATGAAAACATCTGTGGATACTAAACATCACAGCCTCACAAGTTTTATCTCCCGACAACGACACTGTATATGGGTACACACATATGTACAAATACATATATGATCGTAGCATTATTATCGCCAGCCCCCCAAACAACTAATTGTTTTAGGCCTCAGTCCAATTCCAATGGATTTATGAGGTATCCAGGGTATATAAACGTGTTTCACCAAAACTGACTTGATGTGGGTTGTCAGTTATTTCTTCCCAATAATGTTAAAAGCATACATAAATATATATACACAAATGGAAAGATCAGAGAATCAAGCTTCACCAACGCCTTCCCTTGCCACACAATATTATCGAGTTTCGAATTGACAATATTATTGAAATACTGCATAGAATTGTTATTTCGTTACTATTTTTTCTTTTTGAGGAATTTGATTCGTCTGATCTAAATTTTAAGTGTATGTAAACTCTCATGTGATGGTGAAGATTTTAAATCGTTTAGATAGCTTCAAAATTTCTGAAATTAAGTTACATTATTGTCTTCAATACCACACAGCGTTCACATACAAACATGCATGTTTTCTTGTGATTTAACTTACCTGCATGAGCCGTCAACTCCCTTGCCAAATTGATCAAAAATATTATATGTATTTCAAACCTTTTCTTGACTTAATTTAAAACAATGAGGAACCAGTATAAGTTATTCTGGGTTATGTGGTTACATTTTCAAGACATTTTGTCGGATAATGTGAATTTATTTCTGGCAAAATGACAGCTAATTATACAGTATTTCACGCAAGAAATTAATTTCTGTATCAAATTGTTTATTTAAAATCAACTAATTGTATGGGTATTGTTGGCAAGGGAGGTACATTGTTGGCTTGGTCCACTGCATCCATGTGTGTAATTCATCAAACAAAGCATGTGAATGTTAACTCATTCACCCCTCAAGTTTCATAATGGACTATTCCAACCTTTGAATTGGAAGAGTTTAAATGTGTCTTCAGGAGTGAATGAGTTAATTATGTACCTTAATTTCAAGATTAAATGACTATCAGAGGCCAAAATCTCCTAATCTTCTTCATTCATATGCTTTGTTTGCTATGTTTAGAGTGTAAAATGCGAGAACATGATTTCAACCTTTGATTTGAATTTTTAACTTGTTTAAAAAATATTGTTACAGCAGGATATTTTAAGATTTTACAGCTCGTTAATTTTCACCCAGTACAAAATGGTCACTGCAGATGTTCAATATCTCATCTTATTACAGCACAAAGGTTGAAACAAAAATATCCAATAATCTCTTCCATCCTTACTGAAAACCAACATATCAAACAGGATTCCAACTCTCCCTTTTTCCTTTAATATTTTGACATCAATTCATTGAAATTCTAACTTCAAAGTATATTGCAAGATGCTGGTTTTCAGTGTACAATATATAAATACTTTCATAATACAATCATAGTACTTTCATGCAAGATCATCTGCTTAAGGAGAATAAATTCCAAGATGTACAATTTCATTTTGAAATTTACGCTACTGATCAATAAACCTGTCAAATGAAAGTACTTTTTTCAACATTTTAATCATTCAATTTAATTTTTTCCAAAAACTTACAGCACTAGTATCTTTCATATTTTTCATATGAAAGGTTCTAGCCCTTCAGTTTTGTTATAAATTAAATAGAAAACAATGGCAAATAACATTTCAATTTCCCTATTGGATGGAAGAGTACTTTGTTACCTTTAATCAACCCTACTAAAATCCAAATATTTTTTTGAATATCAACTTCTTTAAGTGCTTCAAACAAAACAAAAAAATTCTCTGCATTTTATTTGAAAAAGGTAACAAAGCTCTAAATAGAATCAATATGACTTCAATATTCATTCACAAGTGTCCCTTGCACTTCCACATTTTCTGTTCACATTTCCCTCAAAAATCGACTAGTCTCAAAATCTTGCATTCTTTTAAACTGAATTGTTCAATTTGGTAATTAAAATATTTGAACAGCACCATGGACACTTGTGAAAAGCATTTATCATTTTTTCAAAATGTATTCAAACCAGTATGAACTTGTTATTTCAATATAAAAAATAAACTATCCCTGTGATAATAATGACGACAATTTGTGATCAGACACAAAGAGATTTGAAAGCAAGAATCAAATTTTGCAAAGATCATTTCGGGTCAAATTCAGTTTTGAAGCTTGCATCATAATGAATGCTGCTGATTTTTATTTCATTGTAAATTTGACAAATACACATTTTCTAACAGAACCAATTGATAACTTTCTAAAGAACAAATCAATAACTTTCACTTTGTATTTTTTTTGTTATATATCTTGGAACATTGGAAACTATCTAACCATTGGTATCCAATTGTGAATCGTGTGTCAAGACTTCAAACTTCAAAGTTCATTCTGGTTTTAATACGAAACAGATTTTTAAAAGACTTCTGGAGTACAATGATGTCCTAGATTAGAATTCCTACGGTTTCATATTTTTTTATTTGAACATATTTTTAAAATTTGTGCCAATACAAGGTCCCTTTTCCTTCAGAATTTCAATTGTAATTTCAAGATATTAGTGCTAAATTACCAAAAGGCGATATTTGGGATGATTTCTTAAATCCATAAATGTATAAGGTCATGTTTCTGTGAAACAGCAGATGAAAAATTACTCATGAAATAATTTTAAGATATTAGCTGCCAAAATGTTCATTCTGATTGTGAAGTACAATAAACTTCATAATTTGAACAAAAGTTTGTCTCATTTCCAATCAAGTCTGTGCTGGGTCTTCTTAATTTTTACATTGAATAACTTGTCTTTCTTATATTGTAACATATAGAAAATATGAAATTTAAAATTTTCCAAAAATTTAAAACGAAAAAAAATCTGCAAAAAGTTCTTCAAAGAATTTCAAATATAGATTCTTCATTATTGAAACCAGTTCTTTATTCAGGTGTCTTTATTCAGGTAGGAAACACCAAGAAGCCTCCAAAAATGTTTTACATCCATTTCAGCAATTACATGACTGAAAATTGTGGTGAAACCTACCTTTCATTGTATTGAGGTACCATGCATTTTGATCTCCACTTAAATTGCTGCCTTCATTTGAGCCCTCCATTTCCCCAGGAGGTTCTTCTACATCATAGTCGCTGCCCTCGTAAGTTTGATCACCTTCCCCCTCCATGCCATGAGGATGCACCTCGCCATCATCCCCAGTGTCAACGTACATATCTAATACCCCCGTCTCATCTTTGTCTGTTGACTCTATTTTTACTATGCTGATGTCTGGGCCAATTAAATCTGCTGCTGTAGGAGGCCTGTGAAAAACAAAATGATAAATGTTATCTTTGCAATGAAATGTCGCTATGTTAAACAATTTTTCCTTGTTCTTTTCCTTGTCGTTTAGGTGGTTTTTTTAATTAACTTCCGCAAGAAAATGTATCTAATATTTCTAATGGACTATGTGCATCAAATATTTATTTGATCATCTATTCATGCCCTTGACCAGTTTTGAAATCTTTCCAAATAAATAAGATAAATGCAATAAATGCAAGAAGTACTTAGGCTTTTATATTATAAGGTACTGACCTTTCCTCTTTCAGCCGTTCACTGGAACTGGGCCTCTCCATGCTTTCAGACCTTGAGGTCGTTGGTTGTGACGATTTGCTGCTGGGAGAGGAGGCTGATAGACCAAATAAAGACGCTTCTGGAATGACGGGAGAAACGGGAGGTAGACTTGTGATGGGACTACTGGAAGATGACGAGGTGTTGATGTGAACAGGGACTGACTGGTTGGCCTGACCGGCACTACCAGCGGCAAATGGTTTCGACTGTGCCATTGGTGTGCTGTTTTGTTGACTGCCCATTGGCATCCCTGGGAACACAATATCGGAGGGTTTTGGCATGCTAGTTGGGAAAACATCTGTAGCTTTTTGTAAACTAGTTGGGAACACATCAGAAGATTTCTGTTTATTTGCAGTGAAATCCATGTCTATTAGAGCTTGTGGAATAGAAGGATATTGTGAAGTGGATTGCTTCTGTTGTTGCTGTAGCAAGTCACTGGCAAATTGATTTTGCATGGATCTCTGAATATCTGGACGCGGCATTTGGGGCATTGCTCTCTCGGTTGAAACACGTGATGAACTTGTCATAGGAATGTCACTTCTCATGGATTGGGACGACTGTTGTGACGAGAATGAGGAATGTGCTGAGGACCCCCGTGAATCGCGAGCTATGGGTGTAGATGTGGTATGTGTAGCTGTTGACAGATGAGTACGAGATGTTGATGATGATGACGAGTCTCTCACACCAGAAACATTCACGATTTGCAGGTCCGGGTCACCCCCAGTAACCTGACTTGCTACCGATATTGCGACAGTTTTTTGCACCGGAGGTCGTGAATCTAAAGGTCTTCCTGTGACAGGGTCTCTCTCAACAGGTTCTGTCTGCACCAATTCTAAACTGTCCTCAATAACCTCGATTACACCTGGCTGGAGATTGCGTCCAGCAGCACCTGGAAACGATCCTAAACCAAGTCGGGGAACTCTATCAGAATCGGAATGACTAGAATGTCCATACATATTATCACCACGCTGACCATCGGAGGGACTTCCTGGTCTGTGCATTCTGGGTCTTTTTGATCCTGGGCTGTTTGGTCGTTGGAAATCTGAGTGACGTTTCATCATACTGTCCTGAACCGTCTTTTGCATACCCGATACCCTTACATGTTTGAACTCCAACATATCGTGTGACGTGTACTTAAACTGTCCAGCAGAATATATAGAAAGCCCGGTTTTCTCATGTAAACTCTTACAAAAGTCTGCACAACATTTGATGACACTGTCGACCTGCAACAGTCTGGCGATTTTTTCAATGTCTTTGTGATTGTCCTCGGTTAGCATCATGAAGCCCTCATATAAGTATTGCAGAAACATGTTGACAGAATCCTGCTTGATTTCTGATGCAAGACGAACTTCTAAGTGAGATCCAATGGATGCATTGTCCATGGATTGCAACATTGGACAGGCAGCTACCAAAACTAGCCTGTGTGCCTGGAAAAGAACATTGTTTGAAATAAATTTGAGCAGACAGCAGACAGAACATCAACTTTGGGTCTATTTGGGTATTTTGGTATTTCATGTATATAACTGCAACATTTAGAAAATATCTCGTTCAACAAACTTTAGAATACAAAGGTTGACCTTTTAATGCAAAACCAGGTGACAGCACTGACATGGGCAACTCAATATGTCCCTTCCCATTAATAATGTGGGCATCATATAGAAGAATACCCCATAGCCCCGCCCCACCTGCAGAAATGATGATCAATTTTTTCATGATTCACCCGTAAACATATACAAAGTTTCAAATAAATCTTAACCAAACTCATTTTATATTTCTTATTTTGGACTGGTGCTCGTTAACTTACCTTTGTGTTAATGTTTCCCGTCTTGATAATGGCGTCACATAGTGTTTGGGACTTCCACATGGTGGCCAGCTGGCAAAGTAGAGAACTGGAGTGGATCCCATTTGTATAGAACTTTTGGTAATTCATGGTGATTGTGTGGATTCTTCAATGTGATAGTGATAATGATGACAAGGGCTTCTTTCTGGAAAATAAATGATACAAACATTTTAATTTCTGGTGCTGAAATTTCACATTTTGGATCTGTCAAATAGAAGCTACGATAATCATGTCCACATGAAAAGAGGACAGGAGAGAGCACATAAAACTGGTCAAAAAGTCAATGCAGTATATTTAAATAATGTCTACGTCCGATTTCTAATCATTCACAGGCTTTGCACTGAATCTTGAAGATATTCACATTGAATTTCTGGATGAAAACAATTCAACGCAAGAGCCAATGATTTATCAATTTACATACAAAGATATTTTTGAATGGGTAGATATTTTTGCAATCACATTTGCCATTGCTCTGCAAATGCTTAATATAGTAAAATTCATTATCTATCTGTTAAAATGCTAATATATCGCTAAATGAATCTCTGCTTATTATTTTATATGTTTAGAAATCTTATATTACTAATCTGCTAAAATGAATGCAATTACGCACACAACGTCGCTGGTCATACAGGTACTTGAAGGTGCGCGCTTGACCTTTTGTGTATTTCGATCAAATTGCTGTTTAAAATATCTAACATTTTCGGCGGTAAATGTGGAAATATAAAGTGCAAATGTAGGCCTTATACAACCTTTATATTATACTGAGCACACCTCAGAAGAAAACAAATATGCATTTGATGTACATAAATTTGCAGTATCTAGTGCCCGGTCCCTTCCCGGGCAGCTAGAGCATTGCGTCCTTTGTTCGCAAATATTCCTATTCACTAAATAAATCGGAATATTTTAACATTATCTTCACAAAAGCATCGACTAATCGAGACAAAAGATTACAGTATACGATGAAGTAGAGAAAACACAAGATTGATGACGAACAAATGAATGCTAACAAAGGCAACTTCACCGTCAATGACCCTCGCTGAAAATGACCACGAGATAAATCAGTCTACCCGGTCGCAAGGTGCCCGTTCACATATTTCAAACAATTTAAAAGAAAAAAAGGCATGCAAATTGAACATATACATCAACAATTTTTAAAGTACATATTACTCTTTTAAATAATAGTTACATTGTTTTGAATCCTCTTCTTAAAGCAGTTATTTGAGGTATTACGTGTTCGCTTAGGATTCCACTCTACCGGCCGCCATTTCCTTCTTCTTCGTAATGGGTTGCGGTGCGCAATTCGTATGCGCAGAGGATTCAACCGCCAGAGGCCCCCCAAAGGGAAATTCATGTTTCCTTCATAAATTATCGAAGATCTCTCAAACTGTACTCCACAAAAAAAATCACTGCATCGAACTAGTAAGAAGATATATTAATATCATAAGAATGTGTTCTCTTGAATACAAAATAACTGTACATTGAAATGTTGTATGCCTTTTGTGCATTTTAAACCTGTCTTTATATTGTCGCGAATTAAGCGATCTAGTAGAATAACCGTCATTTTATGATAGACAAGAAGAATTTCGAAGAAATATAACTGACATATTAAATGTGTTAGAAGAATGGGCTTGTATGTATTGTTAAAACTAAAGCTTTGTTAATTTCTGTCCAATACACCCCAGTTTCTATAACACGAAATTAATATACCACAACATTTAAGTTTCAGCATATTCAATCCTCTAGTCTATTGAGTTTTTTGTTAATAAATAATAACATACCACATTTATATTCCGTCTTTGCGTATTGCAGAGTTATCTTCTCTTGGGAACAGGTATTGATTGTTACGTCATTGGTTTGTGCGAGAAAATTACGTCGTTTTCTCAAAAATTGATGACGTTACTCTCACAAACAAGTGACGTAACAATCAATACCTGCTCTCAAGAGAAGATAACTCTGTAATACGCAAAGACGGTATAGCGCCCTTTATAATGTGTTAAGTTACTCTAGAGCGCTTTAAGTTAAGACAATGCAAAACAATGACACATATGGTTGGAATGCATTATAATTGCAGGTCATTATAATTAAAGTAAAACAAAACAATTAAGTAAGTGTTACAAGTATTCCTTGTAACTTAAGCCTCTGTTTGGAGCGGAATAACAACATATCTTCGTACACGTAAAGAAAATGGTGTCACCAGAGGGATATATACCCAAATTTAACCTTAAAGGGTTTGCCGTAAAAATGAGATTTTATGAATGTGATATTGAAACTTTTAGCCTACATGATTTCACAAGAATACAATACTTTTTAAATCTTGTAATATGAATTACTTTTTTTCTTTTTTCATTGAAAATACTTTACCCATATTGGCGGTATTTCTTTTATTCTACATGATTAAATGAATTCATTTGGTCAGATAAGAATATCACATTTCATAACGTTTATTTAAACTGAGATCCAATCTGAACTTGTCACTTAATTCTTCGTTAGGTAAAAATAATGCGCTTTTACTATATATGTATTTATTCGTTTAACCTTCAACTAACTTTTAAAATATCAAATGTGATTGTAAAAGTTGACAATTATATAACTACATGTTTATATATAAAACATGATGGTATTGGTCGTTGTTCCCGTCACTAAAAATTGAGCGTTATGAATTGTAGTGGTGAGATAAACTATAGCATTTTTAGCATGGTCATGGACTAGATACTGTACTGTATATGTGTTGCCCATAGACTCTGTGTACCCTCATTATTCCTAGCTCATTGTATGAGTAGTTCATGCTTTGTAAAAGCGAAAATCAATCTTGTGTATATCATACGAGTATGTTTGACACCAGTAAGTAAACACGGGGACGTAATTTTGTAACTTATTCAAATAGTGCATTGTTTTTCTCGTTACGCATTTTTGAGAACATGTGGTCGGTCTTATCAACTCACAGTTATCTGCCCTTAGACGGTGATCTGGACTTGGGATCAATAACAGTAGTAGTGATATAAAAGCGTACGATACGTACGTATGGCGTGGAATGCATGTTATGATCAAGTAAAACGATGTTGGGTGTCAATAATTCGAATACTAGTTACCTCTCAAATCATCTAAGTTTGTATACTACAAAAATATTCAAATATTGCATATCGAATGAATTATTGATATGTTTCGGATAACCATAATTAATTAATACTGCATACCAAAAATTGTTATTATTATTTTTAGATGTCCAGAATAATGCATACCCATTTTTTTTTATTTATTCCCCAATAAAATAGAGTAAATGGTGATTTGTTTTTGCAATTTCCTAGAAATCGTGTTGTGGAACTGGATTTGATCGCGATCAGATTGCTAAGAAATCCCGGCCTGGCTCATTCTTGTTACATTTCGCACACAACTAAATATGTGTATCCTTCTAATGTGACATAGGGTATCGTGTGCATTTAAAGGTAATACCGCCATACTTAAGATTACAGAGTAGCGACGCCTGACTTAAGCTGGTTAATTTAATCATTACGCTGCTGCATGATTCCTGTTCATATGCACGAACGGTTTAACTAGTCTATTTGTTTCGTCCAAGAGGTACCTTCGATTTCGTCATTATTTATTCTGCGAATGCAGAGAACGTAAGAGCACGTAATCCATGAACTTCCAGGATGACAAACAATTGACATACGACGAATACGTTTAAGGATCCCTGTACCAATGCAGAAAGAATACTAGAGAATTCCAGTCTAGACATTCCTACACTGTGGTAGTTACCTAGCATTTTCTTTTTCGTATAGGCCTATCTGTAGCTAGAATTGGCCGGGACCTAGAGAGCGACAGTACTGTAGTTATCTGAAGTCCCGGGTTCGAATCCTGGTCTTGCCCTGTTGTATTTTCACACCGAAAACGCTATTGTTGTGGGTTTTTTATCCTAAAGTACCGCAAGGTATGCTGTTATTTTCAGAAAATTATTTATCAACGCTATAGTCATGCCAGAATAACAAAAAATGTTTCCGTTTTTTGTGGCAGTGGTATGGGGATGCCGAGAAAACAATCCCTCTAAAACATAGTACAGGTATAGTCACACAAAATTTCAACCACCTGATAAGTCTTATCACCCGATTTAAACACCAACTAGTAATCTTAATATATTGAACTTGTACTTCAGTTATTAAAATTGTACATAGCGATGTTAATTTAGTCTGATATAAGGCATGAGCATGATGTATTTATTCATAAAAACAATCTTCCGATATTGTAACATGTCAATCTCTGTTGCAACCCAATCGAATGGTAAGAACTGACATGGTATCGTTTATATTTTATCAATTATTATCGTAGACATAATAATTGAACATCTACTACTGACATAGAAAATTGGATGTTATTCCTGAGACGTGTGTACGACTTACGGTGCACCAGGACTAGTTTTATGTGGAGCCGTTCATTATTCATGTGACCAGAGTTTGGTTCACTTGTAACTATAATTTATGCCAGATCACAAAGCCAAAGTTTGTCCTATGATTAAAAATAACCTATTTGCATATTTGAATATATCATTATCGTGTGCGTCTCTGCCTACTCAACAACAAACCCGGATGTTTTCAGACTACTACGGTTATAAACTAGAATATATCTTAAAATGTGTCAAATATTCAGGCAACACATTGACGTTTCAATGAGTTATAGTGTCTTGTTTAGCTCCCCTGGTCTGAAGGTCCGTGGTGAACTTATTCCATTCGTGGTTTCCGTCGTTTGTCTGTCATTCATGATAAAATGAATGCGTTTAATGCTAGCTAGGTTCCCAATATCACGATTCGCGGCACGATTGATCGTGGACTAACCGTGGTGATCCTATCAGATCTTATCAGATCTTGAGGTCAGTCGTGGCAATCGTGTTAATCGTAGAAACGTTTTGAACGGTTCAAAAGTTTTCTACGATCAACACGATCAATTGTCAAGCGGGACCATCGTATCAGATCGTATTGCATCGTAACTAAGCGCGACAGATCGCATCTAGTTGTGCTTCCAAATCGCGATGATCGGGATCGATCTTAGACAAGACAAACACCACGCTCTGTTGAGATGTGTTGCAATCCCCCAAGATCTGTCACGACCTGTTAAGCTATGTCTGGTCCCATTGCTAAAGACCTGACACGAATGTCTCACGAGCAGATAGGAGTTGATACGAGAAGATGCAAGTAGATACGAGTAGTTACACTTTTACACGAACGCTCACGATCTGTTACGAGTTCTCGTGTCCATATATATAACGGACGAGATTTAATGCGTCTCATTCAGCGATCTACTCTTGAAGAGAGCACATCTTAGTAACCTGCCTTTGCTAGTAATTTTAGAGCGTTTGAGAGATGCCATCCAAGGGTTCCAGAGGCAAGAAGGGAAAGGGCATGGCTGTCCCACCCCCGAAGTCTGAACCAGTCCAGCAGGGGCCGGCACCAGAGGAGACAGATAACAGCTACCCATCCGAGAAAGCAAAGAGAAGAAAAACAGTCACTGCCTTCTCTGAACAGCAAAAGGATGAAATCATTAAGTTCCTCATGAGCAATGATGTCCTGTACACGAAACGGCTTTCTGGGTTCAAGGATGTTACACACAAGGAGGATCTCTGGGCTGCCAGGCTGCCAGGCTGCCAGGCTGCCAAGATGAATAGTACTGTAGAACAGCTAAAAATATGGTACGCAAGCATGAGGACCATGATGGGCCGGCTGAAGAAACGTGCCAAGAAGAGTGGGTCAGGAGGAGATGCATTTACTGACATGAACAGGACAGAGAAGTGGGTATGGGATAAATTCTCGTTTTTGATCCCTCACATTGAGATGGTGGGTGCCAGAGATGTGGCCTCCTTTGCAGCAGCAGCAGCAGCAGCAGCAGCAGCAGCAGCAGCAGCAGCAGCAAGTGCCAGTAGCACTGAACTCAAACCTTCCATCAACTAAACCTCAGTAGTAGCCTCTACCACCAGCAGGGTTGTAACACCAACACTCCCAGAAACCTCCCAGCCAGGGGCGGTCGGCTCCAGATGGGGCAGTGAGGATGGGATGACCTCTGGAGAACTGAGTAAGTATTATCTCCCCTAATAACAATTGCAGTTTCATTTAATTTCACATTAAGATATTCTTGGAGAAATAATTACTAGAAATAATAGCATTTAAAAAAAGAAAGGGTTCCCTCGTTGGTGTAGCGGGATAGTCATAAAGGTTATATTTAGTGGGACTAGAAATAATTTAACTGGGACTCAAATAATTTTCAGTCCCACTAAATATAATTTTAATCCCACTAAAAATAATCTTTTTGATCATCCCG